ATAAGAATAATTAATTTGCAAAATATTGTAAATTCTAAACATGTAAAAAAGTATATATATCTATATTATTGATAATTCAGACGTTGACAAATGTATATATTGTAGTTTAAAAAGATACTTTCTGACAAGTTTGTATAATATAATTTGTTGTTTACTTGTTCCTTTGTACTTTGCTCCGATATAAAAGGAGTTGGTCAAATAAAATTAACGAAATATTTCTTTTTTATTATGATCCGCATTTACAAAATAGAAACTTGTTTGACAAGAGGGGATTAACGAGAGGATATTTTTTTTTAAAAATGCATAATTTAGGTTTAATGGCAGGGACGTCATTATAGTATTTTGCAATTTTTTTTCGAAAAATCGGATTGAACAAAAATGAAAACTTAAATAGGATCTGTTTTATTTTGGAGGTATGTTAATGCAAATGTTGCCAATAGAAAAACAATAAAGCTTCAATGTACGCCACTACACAGTTTTATTTAAAGAAAATAGGCCGCCGAAAATAAATAGATCAAATGATATTTGCAATATTGACGTGAAAAAGAAACATTATTGCATATTTTTGCTTACTGTAATTTTGTTTAGATCGATATTTTTATATGAACTTTGTACTATTCAAATGATTACCAATATCAAAAACAGAAATAAAAATAATATAATGTGAAGGACAAATTTTAAAGGTTTTGTAAACAAGAAGATTATTGATATTGTATTTGTGACTACATAATTGGTTACTTGGAAATACATGTATAAGAATGTTGTCAAAACACAAAGAAAGGAGGTACTTTCATAATCGAATATAGATGGTATGGTAAAACATGAAATATGTTTTACATGCATTTATTTAGAATATAATAAGGCGTATATTCGAACAGAACCAATTTCTATTACGGCATTAGTGTATTTTGTTATCCTTATACACACATGCACAATATAACTCTATTTATAACTGCACGGAATGTGAATAATAATTTGCACATCCTTCACTTAATTTAGTACTGTCCTATGTAACATTCAAGCAAGACCCAATACATGACCATCTTGGATTTTCTTTATAATTTTGAAGTATCAAATGGGTGTTACTAAAATACTTTAAAATGCATTCATATGTGCGATCATACTTCTGGTTGCTATGGAAACGGAGGTTGTTAACATTAGCACTAAAAATCCTCAAATCTAAAGAAAAAAAGGAATTTTTAGTATTTTTGTAGTGATAGTAGACAAAATACAGAATGTGTTACAGGACATTTAATGGGGATTTCTAATTATGATACAATTGAAATATAAATTTCATATTCCAACCAAATTAAAAAATAAACATTATATTTACAAACAAAAATGACATTTCTGTGACATAATTCTCCACTTTATAAAAAACGATGCATTTAAATCACTATGTTTTAATTTGATTGGCTTATACAGCATCATGAGACGGTATTGCGACATTTTAATTGGATATTAGGTAGGTCTTTGAAGACTGTCAGGGTTTAAGACAATGTGCATTTTGTCTATGGCAACGGAGATATGTGATTTCTTCACAAATATACAAAAAATATTTTCACTTTTAACCGGAAAATCTACCTTTTGTCGAATTTTATTACATTTTGAAGTGTATAAAAAATATTAAATGTCTAATGTTAAAGATTGACGCCGCAACAGGACATACATGTATGATGTCATACTGGTATGTGAACAAGACTCGATCAACGTTTCGAGGATTTCTTTATTCAACACAATGAGAATGTTTACCATAATAGAAATAGGTTTAACAACTCATGAGGAGAACTGGATATTGCTTGATATCCAATTCTCACTCGTTATGAAACCTATAATTATCTCGGAATTTTCTTATTTTATGTAAAAAAAACTATAGTCATATCTTTAAATTTCCATATTCATCTCTAAAAATGGAAACTGCACAATGCCAGTGTATGCCTTTCTACCCAAACCAATCAGACGTTTTTTCTCTAAATAAATGGGGAAGAAACTTCATAGCCTAATCCATAACGATTAAAAGCTGATTTTCCTTCAAGGTTTAAAATACATCATGACGAGCCTCATATTGATTTACTGTGCGTAAAATGTGAGATTTCCGTTCAGAATTTTGTCGTTTTGAGCACTGAACATCCTGCAAGAGTACATTTTTATCTGCAAATTGACATGAATTTATTGCTTTAAGAATTTTGTCAATTGCACTTATTAAAAAATCACATCTATCACATGATTTCAAATGAGTGTGTGTACAGACATGTCTAAATTTGGAGTTTTCGGATCACGTAATTCATACGGTTGGCAATGATATGCACATTCATCTTTTCTTTGAATGTGTAGCTTATAATCTGTTTTCAAATATATTTTAGTGTTTGAAAGTCTATTTATGATATCATGTTTCCAATCCTCTGGTTCTTCCAACCTGCCAATCAATGACATTAGAGTGTCAACCGCTGTTGATCTATCAGCTACTATACTGTCAACCCCTTTAAGGCATGTTACTTAAGAAGCTGCACAAGCTTTCTAAACTTGAAATAAGGTTGAATTGCTAAGAGGTGAAATGTGAGTTCTCTGTGCAATAACTTGTATATAAACGAACAAGGTTTGAATGTATCATTGTGCGAATTACTTCAAGTATTGTTAATACTTCCCCTGAATCAAGTTTTGGGTCTCTTGTGCCATAGGAAACAATATGAACAAATGATGGATCACTGAAGAATTCTATAGCATGTTCTATCTTACTACAATTCATTCGCTGCCTATTGTGCTTGGTAGGTTCTGTTCTAATTACTGCACCAGGTCCAAATACAAATGCATGTTTCCTGGCTTTGTCAATTTGATATTTCGTTATATTTGGAGACATTGTTAATAACTCAGACTTTGGATATTGATTAACTATCAACGATAAAACCTGGCATCTGCTGCTACTGTCTTTTGAGTTATCATTCGGTTGGCATAACATCTTAAGCACTTCTTGGTTTTTATCTTGTGGTATGATTTGAGTATCCATAATAATTTTTGTTAACTTTAGACCTTGATTGTGAGCAATATCATTCATTAAAGCATCTGTTGTCTCTAGTGCTTTTTTATTATAATTACGAGCTGTAGGTTGTTTTGAATTTTCAAGTGGCATTGATAGTTTGGACCTCAATGGACTGACTGATCCACGACTTATAAGTTCTATGGCTTTGTTCACTTTTGATAGTGGATGTATGACAGATTGAGCTTCTTCTCCAGTACTCCAGTTTGAAAATTAACTTGAAAGCTGTTTTTCTTCGGATGAGATTTCCTGAAATAATAAACAATAATCCCATCATGTATGATCCATGGTAAATAATTTTGCCAATGCTTATACAATTGCATATCAAATATCAATGACTTATCATGGGGGGTTCCTCTTAAACTGACTTAATCACAAACTTTAACTTTCCCACTAAGCACAAATTTAAAGTCAATTTACCATGACCGAGACGGACAGGACAAAATAATATCCAGAGTAATGAACTGGGTTAATGCTCATACAACTTCATATCAAATATCAATGAATTACTCTAAATAGTTCATATTAAATTTACCTCATCATAAACTTTAACACTACACTGTGACATTTCATTTACTGGAGGCTAACATCTTTAATATGAGAAGGGATTGTGGGTAATTTTCATGGGGAGATAATTCCAATTCAAATGCAATTATTTTGTATCAATGGTTCTGATTGGATGAAAATATGCGTAAAATTCTCTATCTCCCCGTCTGTAACTAAGGAAGCCGACATTGTGAATTCCGGAATGTATTGACATATAATTTCTTCAATAATAAACAAACGAAACTCACATTTTGCACCTAGAAATCTTCTTTTTATCATATTTTATTACATTTTGAAGCGGACAAGAAGTCAGAAAACGCGATGTGTTTATGTTTGATGCCGGAAGCATACCTACGACGTCACCTAGTTTAGGCGCCAAAGAAGATAACATCATTTCGCGGAATTTTCGTTTAATGAAAACTTTACACTGAAGTAATGACTGAAATTGAAAAATTTGTTGTTGTTTTTTTTTTTTTGCATTAGAATAGAGATAAATGTATTGTATTTGAAGCTTTGCGGACGTCCATCGGTAGTTTTACTGTCGCAAATATCCGTATACCTGTCTCCGCTCCGCGTCGCCAGGTAAACTAAATTTGCGACAGTTAAAATACCGATGGACGTCCGCAAAGCTTCAAATACAATACAGTTATCTCTTAAGTAGCCCAGTACTAAAAAAACGAGGTTGATTTAATCCAAATTTTCCTTATTTTCACAAAATAACGCACAAATATGTTTCAAAACATGTGAAAATTAAATGTGATAGTTTATGGAAAACATATCTATATATTAATATGTTTCTGCTACTAATAGTAATAATGGACTGAAAATGATGAAAAGTGGCCATTTTTAAATAGATCTATAGTGGAATTCCAGTCAGAAACAAATCCTTGTAAATTCATTAAATGGGACATATATCACAAAATCCTGTGTATGTATACAACATAGCACAATTACTTCATGAAAATTAAAAATATAACAGTTTTAAAAAAAATCATGTATCAGTTACCATTCAATATCTGCCTGATTCTTAGGTGGAATGGTTCTTAATCTTTTAACTTAAAAGCAAACACCACAACATTCTTTTAGCACACTTGGCATAACGTACTGGTGATTTAACCGGTAAAATTAATTAAAAATAACAATAAAAAGTTATTATTATCTCAGGGTCAGTGTCTCTTAAATTAACCGTATGGCTAAGATTATATATTCAAAATTTTACTTTAGAAATTGTTTTTTCATATCTATTCATTTTAACAATTTCAATTTTTCAAATTGTCTCAAACATAACCAGTTCATCCATTTGGTTTTTGCTGATAATTTAATTTGGATATTGCTGTCTAATTAGTGTAATGAGAACTATTGAACCACAGACTTTTTGATGTAGATTAAAATATGGTTACTATATCATTTCTACATTTTAGAAGAGCGATGCAGCAATTACTTCCTATGGTTTTCGTTTTAATATTGATTGGAAGTATTGATGTCAAGTGTCAAGATCCTAACGACAAATGGTGGAATATTCTGATGACACAAGGGTTAGCTTGTAGAAATGACACTTGCAGAAGAAATGATGCGACATGCGAATGCTATCTAACAATAGAACACAGGTTAACCATGATGAACGAAAAAGACAGGATCTTACTTGTGCCTTCCAGAGGAAGATTTCGGCCATTCAACGACTTAAATAATGAGTATAGCGAGGACGAAGAGAAGGAATTTATCGCTGGAGACGGATACGGATCTCGTATGGTAATAGCTGTCAATCGCCGGTTTCCGGGTCCTCAAATTACAGCATACGAGAATCAAAATATAATTGTACACATGCGAAATTTAATGCACACCGATAGTACAACAGTTCACTTTCATGGTTTACACCAAAAACGAACCCCTTGGTCGGATGGTGTCGCTTTTGTTACACAATGTCCAATCCTTCCCGGACAAATTTACACATATTCATTTTATGCTAAGCCATTTGGAACAAGTTTTTACCATGCACATATTGGAGATCAGCGAAGTGCAGGACTTTATGGACCACTTGTTATCATACCATTATCATCGATAAATATATCAACACCACAGGATGATAATAATGGCAAAGTATACACAGTTGCTATTCAGGACTGGAATCACTTTGATGACCCGGAAACATTGTACCAACGGATGCTTTTTGGTACATTTGACCTTCAAGAAAATAAACAAATTGATACCACATCTGATATATCTGGAGCTAAATTTAGTCGTTTTCACTGTCATTCTGGCATAATAAATGGAAAAGGTAGGTTTTACAATACATTGACGACACACAACCAAGCGCCTCTGACAAAGTACGATGTCCAACCGAATACAGATTATCGGTTCAGAGTCATAGGTGCAGCCACTTTGTATCCTTTTCGTGTCTATATTCAAGGTCATAAATCAATTCGTATAGTTGCCTCTGATGGATTTGAAATCGAACCGATTGAAGTGGAATCCTTGATTATACACCCAGGAGAAAGAATTGATTTTATTTTGAGAACGGACCAGGCTTCAAGTAATTATTTGTTAGTGGCGGAAACTTTAGAAGTAGAACCAGTCTCTTTGAATCAGTATCACGCAGCCGAAGCCATTATACATTATACTGACGCACAGCCAAATCTGAATCCACCTAAGGGATCACCAAATAGTTGCTCACAGCAAAATAAATGTAAGATCTTTAATTGCCCATACATATATTATCCACAAAATCAAAACAGAATATGCCTGACCTGGAATGATGCCAAAACAATAGATCCAAATTCAAATATTGACGAAGTTAAAGGAGTGGCAATAGAACGATTTTATAATTTTGCTTTTCCGGGGGAGAATGGTTATACACCAGGGTCAGTAAATGGGCATCAATTCCTACCCCCAACTGTAGCAGCATACGCCGAATGGGATAAGGTTGAGCAAAACTGTGGTGAATGTAGCGAATCAAGTATCTGTGAATGTACATACTACGACAAAATAGATAGAGGTAATAATAATCAAGTCTATCAATTTGTTATGACAAACATTGGTAATGGAGACGGATGGTCACATCCTATTCATTTACATGGTCATTCTTTTTACGTCATGAAAATGGGTTTTGCCTCTTACGAACCATCTACTGGTAAATTAATACCAAATATGGGGCAGGATCAACAAGATATCATATGTAACGATGGAAAAAATTTCTGTTACAAAGCACAGTGGCGAAATTCGTCATGGTCAAATGGAAATCATCCTACTCTAAATTGGGACAATCCACCACAAAAAGATACAATAATTGTCCCGACAGGCGCATATGTCGTCGTCCGATTTAAGGCAGATAATCCAGGTCTCTGGTTTTTCCACTGTCACATAGACGTTCACAACACCAATGGTATGGGAATGATGATCAACGAATCTCCTGGGTATCATCAAAAAGTACCAGATGACTTCCCGCGGTGCAAGAGTTATATCGTAAATAACGGTGATGGTAGGTTTTAAACAAAACAAAAATTAATATTAGGTTGCTGAAAATAAAGCTAAAAAAAAGAGGCCAAAGCATGACAAAATATAAAACAATTTACAACAGAAATTAAACAATAAATGAAATTACAAATACAGCAACAAACGACAACCACTGAATTACAGGCTCCTCACTTGGGTCAGACATCAGATACAACACAATTTCAGGGGGTTAAACATGATCTTGAGCGCTAAAACCTTGCTTTATGATGAAACACGTCATTTTGTATATCAAACTCAATTTTAAGATAAAAGTTATCTGAAACTGACGCCCTGGATATGTCTATTTTTTTTATTTACATATACGTGTTATATTTGGTGATTGTGTTTTTCAACAGTCGACTTGATGAAATTTTAGAAAAGGCAGACTGCATAGGAAGACTTATCAAGAAGAATAAAAACACGTTAAATAAATACTATCCTTAAACGTTATGTTCAACCTATCAGTTGATGTTCTTATCTATCCGCTTTGACAACATAAAGGAAATGTTCATTTGATTTAATATGTTTCTAACCAGGTCATTTGAAATTTAAACATTACGATATGAAATATAACTTCATTACTTCAATTTTACATGGTTTTATTCCTTGATATATATATAGGAACACTACTATCAGTACCTGAATGTTCAATATATCTCTCTGTTACAACGACATTTCAGAAATAGCTTTTTGGTAAAAAAAAAAAAGAAGAGAAAGTTGTCTCAAAAGTTAGAATCAAGTATTCATTTGAAATCTTGGTCGTTCATGTTTATGAATTGGCTTACCATTAATACCGAACGCGAGAGAGTCCAATGATTTGTTTCATTTGTCGCAGCCGAAGTCCTGTCGTTTTCATGACATATGAAGACTATGAAAAGCGACGGGTAACACTTGTGGAACAGAAACGAACTCTTTATTTTTTTTCTGTAACGCATGAGTCTATCCCTGGTTTTAATTTTCTTAAAAAGGGTGTACTTTCCTTTTTCCGTCTGTAGGCTCATTTGAACCCCCAATGTAAACAAAGGCGGCGGTGTTGAATATCCATGAAACAGCAATTCCATTATAGAAATTGTACACATATTGACGAAATTGTCTGAATTAAAAGTAGTAACCTTGAAATTCTCAAACTTCAGTTCATGTTATGATTATAAAACGTAACCTACATGTATACGTAATCAAACCTAGGCGTGCTATCATTCAAGAACAAACGTGTATACTAAATCAGACTATTCGTCAGATAAAACTACACTCCGTGGTAAATAATGGGTTTCCTTTGTGTTTACTATGACATAACATTAACCATTTATTGTATAGTTTCAGGATGTGATACTGTTACATCAACATTCGCCTTTACACTGTCCTTGGTGATAGCTGTGTCTTTTATCTCTGACATTGTATAGTTTTGCATATAAACTTATTTAGATGTGAAAAGGTTAGTTACACAAAGATAATTTAGGAAAGATATACCTAACTCACCGAATTATTGAAATTTATGTTGATAAGATTGATTGTGTTACTATAACATTATACAAAGAGACTATGCATAAAGTGTAACAATTTAAAAGGGTATTCTCCATGCATTTCATATAGATCTGCACGCATATTGCATGCATTAGGAGTTCCAAATATAAATATGCAAAGCCTAAACTACAAGTATATCTAAGAAATGGGGTAAATTCAAACAAAGATCATCATTGTAATATCGTTGATATGCACACAAGAGCAAGCTGTTTCGCTTGTTTGTTGTACTGTTCAACGTGTTTGAAAATAATTTTATTTTAATGATCAGACAATGTTATATATGTTTTCCACTGTTTATATTTGTATATAATTTTATAACTATTACTTGTCAAAGATGCTTTTTGTATTTATCTATATGCAATGCTTGAAATTATTTGAAGACTGCGCCAACTAGGTAAAACATGTACTAATATTATATATCAAACGTATCAATACGCACTTTCTTATTGTTAATTCTGTAGATAATATTTACGATTTGCTTATTTTTGGTAGTTTTCAAAGTCTCTCCTAGAGATTTAAATTTTTTTGATATTAAAATGTACTTACGCCGTCGGAATTCAAAGATGGACTTTATGTATAAAAATGCATGATGTTAATAGTGTTAACTAGTGCATTGCACTTCCTTATAAGTTGTTTTACAATAATTATGATTTTCCTTAGTGATAGTTCACTGTATAAGCCATTTTGTTTTTCTTGAAATCACTCTGTGCAATGAGTTCAATACATCAAATATGTAACTTCTTTCAGTTCCAGATTTCGTAAACGTGAAACAGTAACTACATCATAGTAAAGCTCTTTTTTCTTTCTTTTTTTTGTGGCATACTTATTAATGTAATGGTTACACCAATACGCACGAGCTAAGAGTTATCTTTAAACCACATATTATTTAGGCGCATCTATGTTCCAGGAACTTACATTGCAGATTAATTCATTAGATCAACATCTGCCTCCTTTCTCTATTCAATGATAAATCTGGAGTTGTGTGTCAAATGATAAATGTTCATTGCAATATATAACTGTTTGGAAGGCCTATATGGACATCTATCACAATTTCTGACCCTATCTAATACATCTTCATATTTCAGTGCCATTACAAATCTCGATCGTGCTACTATTTAGGAGATAGCTGTATTGTATATTTGAAGCTTTGCGGACGTTCATCGGTAGTTTTACTGTCGCAAATTGAGTTTACCTGACGACGCAAAGCAGAGACAGGTAAACGGATAGTTGCGACAGTACAGTCTTTTTTTCAAAAACAGTTTGAAAATTGTCAGATATTTTTATTCTTCTTTAACAAATGCAAATAATCACCTCTCTCTGAATTTCGTTTAAAACAGGTTTTCTTAATGATAGCCAAGCCGTTCCTCCTTTCGCTTAACACAGGTTTTCTTAATGATAACCAAGCCGTTCCTCCAAACGAGTTACAACAAATTACATTTTATGACTTTTAAGAAAGTTAAAGAAAATCTGTGTAAAAGTTGACATAGTTGATATATTGCATTTGCTATACCAATCAGGTCCTCTTTTCACGATTATGACAAAGCATATAACATCATTTATTCTCAGGCTTTTCATGAGGAACACTTTGGGTGCGTCTAATGGAGGTAACACTTTTCGGAGCAACTGCAATTACCATGTATGTGGCGGGATTTCAGCTGATCAATCTCTAGTTTTCTTTGTAGAAACCTACGAATGACTGGGGCATATATATATACATGTATCATCATCAATGGACTTGTCCTGTGCGCCAGTAAAACCAATCATCAAGAGGGGTGTACCTTTAGCTGAGTGGAATGTATAAATACACAGTCACGTTTGATCAGAATCGTTGGATCGGTGGTCTCGTCTAGAAGACGATTACTTAGAAATAAGAAGATGTGGTATGAGTGCCAATGAGACAACTCTCCATCCAAATCACAATGTGTAAATAAGAAGATGTGGTATGAGTGCCAATGAGACAACTCTCCATCCAAGTCACAATGTGTAAATAAGAAGATGTGGTATGAGTGCCAATGAGACAACTCTCCATCCAAGTCACAATGTGTAAATAAGAAGATGTGGTATGAGTGCCAATGAGACAACTCTCCATCCAAGTCACAATGTGTAAATAAGAAGATGTGGTATGAGTGCCAATGAGACAACTCTCCATCCAAGTCACAATGTGTAAATAAGAAGATGTGGTATGAGTGCCAATGAGACAACTCTCCATCCAAGTCACAATGTGTAAAATAAGAATAAGAATATGAATAAGAACCTTGTAGTAACTCTATGATGATCATTAGTAGATCTGTTTCAAGGCACAATTTCTGACCCTATCTAATACATCTTCATATTTCAGTTCCATTACCAATCTCGATCGTACTACTATTTAGGAGATAACTGTATTGTATATTTGAAGCTTTGCGGACGTTCATCGGTAGTTTTACTGTCGCAAATTGAGTTTACCTGGAGACGCAAAGCAGAGACAGGTAAACGGATAGTTGCGACAGTAAATCTACCAATGGACGTCCGCAAAGCCTCAAATACAATACAATACAGTTATCTATAGTCTAATGCAAATAAAAAAATCATTAAATTTTAGTCACCATTTCGGTAAAAAATTTTCATTAAAGAAAAATTCAGCAAAATGTTGTTTACTTATCTTCTCTGGCACCCAAACTAGGTGAAGTCATGTGTATGCTTCTGGTGTCAAACACCTGGCGTTTTTTTTTTATTCTTGTCAGTGACAAAATGTAATAAAATTATATAAAAATTAAGATTTCTAGGTGCAAAATTTGAGTTTGTTTGCTTATTATTGTAGAAATTACATGCCAATACATTCCGGAATTCAAATTGTCGACTTCCCTTTATTACAAACAGGTAGATAGAGAATTGTAGGCTTAATGTCATCCAAACCATTGACACAAAACAATTTCTTTATAATCATAGCTGACCTACCTACCATTTGTATTGTAAATTTGTTCTCGTCCTAAACATGCATGAAATATTTGTCAGTGGACTTTTATAAAAAAAAATCAATTAAGCAAACATTTCACAGCCTATGTCTATGTATATAAAAAGGATATATATATATGGAAAAGTGTTGTTTTTTTTTTCAAATAAAAAGGAAAATATCCATTTTGTATTTATTTGGAATTATGGATAGTCTTCTTCGGTTATTTTTGGTTCAGTGCGCCACAGTATTTGATATCTTTGTATTTTCTAGCATCAAGTTTCGCTCGATCATCATCGTGTTCATAATAATACTTCGGGTTTTCTGTTGTATTACCTCTGATTTCACTGCTAGGGGAGTGCAAGTGCCCCGGTTATCGAGACAATTCACTGCTTCTCTTTATTTTAGCCAACTATTATCTATACTTTATATATTCAACATCTTTTTATTCTCTACCCCCCTCTCCGATTTCTCTCAATTCTAAACACCCCTGTTTTTTCGGTTTTTTTTTTTTGTTCCTCTAATTTCGTCTATTTTGTTAACCAACTCCAGACCCGATGTGCTTTCTCCTGTCTAGTGATACTTTAAAAAATCTGTTTAGGTTTTGTTTTGTAATTACTTAATAGCAAAGTCGATTCCACTGCTGGTGATGCATCTCATTTTTAACTCGTACATGCTTTCAGTTTCTGACAATTTCTTCTTTGCACTTTCATGAATTGTCAATTAGTTGTTAAGGCGTAATTTCAAAAATCTAAAAAAAAACTTTAAAATGTACTTTTTTTTCTTGATATTAAAGTGAAAATTCGCAACAAAAAAATAAAAAAACATATATCATGTTCTTTGTGTATAAATATACATACATTCAATAATATAAACTTTTTAGACACAAAAAATGAGAAGGTACAATTTCCCCTGTAATTTTTTTCTCATCCCCTCAGTAGCGTTACATTAAGTTCATTTCTAGTGAGGCAAATGATTTGACTCTTGGCAGTCAAAGCCTCAACTTTGTTAAAAGACCACAATATCAATAAGGAGCAAATCAGAATCACAAAATAGTTTTCAGCATTTAGATAAAACTACAAAAAATCGAATTCTAAACAGGATTGATTGATTGATTGAGTATTGTTGCCTGACATTAGTTGATAAAAATCGCATGCATATTCAGGACAAGAAAAATAAGATAGTCAAATAGATATGTGGAGTTTGTCGACCAGGATAACAGCATGGATTTCAACTGGAAAAGGATGACATGTTAGACATGGGCAGACATTTTGTCTTGCAACAGTCCCCTTATGAATCCATAGGGAACCTGTTTCAATACAAAATGTCTGTCCCTTTCTAACATCATAATTCATGTTTCATGAGTTCTGAAACGTGTAGCGCTTATGATTGCACTTTCCCTACATTTGATTGAACGTCCTCATTCCGACTTGATGTGGCTGTGTATTTATACATCCCGGACAGTCAAACGGACGACTCTTTTAAGCATAGGTTATTCTGTTGAATAGAGTCTTGTATAGAGTACATACATGTACATCCCGCAACGCTAAACGAAACACCCACAACCCAAGGGGAAGTTTAGGTGACCATACTCTTGATTTGTTGCAAACTGACACAAAGATCCTATATATAAAAAAGAAGATGTGGTATGATTGCCGATGAGACAACTCTCCGCAAGAGACCAAATGACACAAAAATACAGTAAAAGAAATAGTACAATAATCATGATAGTGGAATATGTAGACAGCTCTCTCACGAGCAAAAAAACCCTAACTGTAAAAATATAAGGGCAGACACTACAGGCACGGTATTTTAAAAATAAAGGTTTGTGTAATGTTATCATGAAATAATTATATTTTCCACTTCGCATTAGAGCCAAAAATGTCAATGTTACTGCTGGTTAAAAGTTTAATTCTCAGTATTCAATTAAAGAAGGTCCTGATCAAAACAAAAATAACTGACAGAAGTATATGTATGAATTCCTCTAAAATGCTTTTGAACATATTTGGTGATATCAAATTTTAAGATCCACTATGTTTTGTTTATACGTTTAGGAGCTTTTGACAAAATGCATGGATTATAATAACTATGTGAACTATGAAGTCTTGCTTATAAATAATCAAGGTGCATGTCAGTAGGAAGAGGACCACATTTTGTCCTATAGGAATGCCTAGTGTCTGTTGAAAACTACGTCCACCAAAAGAAACAAGTCCGTTGTCAAGAAAAAATCAAGCATCATATCAGTTTCACAGTTATAACCTCTTGTTTGAATCAGTTTCTTTTAAAATTTATATAAACTCTGTTAATAATGAGGAACGTGTGAGTAAAAGGTAAAGAAGTCAACGTTTGGAACCGTCGTCACTCTGTACTCTATATCATGAAATACACGGTTTACATCTTCTCTTTGTCTCTCTTTTTTTAATAGACATAAACTTGGTGAGACGGTTGTCTCATTGCCTCAATGGACGCTGCGCCATTGCCCTTTCAGGGTAAAAAACTAAAACATAACAAATGCTAACGGAAATAAGAGAGTTCATATCGTACGCTTAAAATGTGGTTTCTTAATTTAACATATTTTCATTAAGCCAAAAAATTATTCAGCTCTTTTTTTGTCAAATTGCACATTGAAGGACATCGCTACTCGAAATGGATGTATTTGTATCCGAAACACAGAACATAAATACTCGAAATGAATATATTTGTATCCGAAATCAAAACATAGCTACTCGGAATAAATTTATTTGTATCCGAAAGACAGTACATAGCTACTCGAAATGGATTTATTTGTATCCGAAAGACAGTACATAGCTACTCGAAATGAATTTATTTGTATCCGAAAGACAGTACATAGCTACTCGAAATGAATTTATGTGTATCCGAAAAACAGAACATAGCTACTCGAAATGAATATATTTGTATCCGAAATCAGAACATAGCTACTCGAAATGAATTCATTTGTATCCGAAAGACAGTACATAGCTACTCGAAATGAATTTATTTGTATCCAAAAGACAGTACATAGCTTTAATTTTAGCATATTTTTGTTTTTGGTAATCGATGTCTTTGCACATTTTTGGGATAAATATTTGGTTCTTTCATAGAATCTGGAGTGATATAGGTATTTTTTTTTTTTTTTTTTTTTTTTTTTGAGGGATGAGGGTTTGTTTATAAATTAAGCAGTGGACTCAAATACTACATGTATGTTTTCCTCAAGATGTCTTCTGGTTTTTGTGTGTACTTGTGCGCTGTTTCTTAGTATATCCCACTTCCCGTTTTAGTCATATCAAATACACCTTATTCTAAAAGGTGTACCTGTAAAATAATATTGCCAGATGCAACAATGCAAATTGACAACTTATTTTTCATGATAAGGGTTTGGTGTGGAATTTCCAAGGCTTATCGCATAATAAGTAAACAAGAGTTCGTTTGGCTGCATATTAATATATATCCACATCCGATGACTTGTGTAGAAAACGTGACCGGGTAACAAATGTCTGAGCGGTCCGTTAGTGGCTTGTTTTAAGGGAAAATTCCATTCCTATCACATCTGCCCTAATTTTTCAGTGGCAGACTAAATTTTTGCCGCTCACCCCGATTGAGCCACTCTGCAGAACCTACCGATTTATTGTTAATTCGTTAATACGCATGACATATATCAAGTTTTATCTTTCAATACATTTTGTTAAGTGGAATAAAATTAAATGGACATCGAAGATCTGACATTTTGACTGATCGGTCTTTAATCAAACAAATGCACATCATTTCTTCCTCAATAAAAAAAAGTATATCTAACTCATCTGCATGACAGTTTGTAATCTTTAGTGTTTTGTGTCTAACATATCATCACATTTTGTATACCTTAAGTCTACCAAGATATTAATTGTGGAAAGGGATGATTTTGTTTGGTTTTTTTTTTTTAAACAACTTGAAACTTGGAAATTAAAATGCTTATGACATAAATGGATTATTTGAAATATCACAAACATGCTGACAAAATGTCTTGACCATAAAACTTCAAACCGGAAAAAAATTGACAGATGTTATTCAAATTAATATATTTTTGCCAATTATTCTATTATAATACAAAAAACATATAGGCCACTAAACATTTAACTTTATTTGAAAACATTGCGCCGCAATTCTCTATGATTTAATTCTTGTCAGCATTGTTTTGGAATCAGTTAAGATATATACCTAAGTGTTGACTGATGCATAGAAATATGGTAACCATTCTGGTAAGTGTTGACTGAGGTATAGAACTATGGTAACCATTCTGGTAAGTGTTGACTGAGGTATAGAACTATGGTTACCGTTCTGGTAAGTGTTGACTGAGGTATAGAACTATGGTAACCATTCTGGTAAGTGTTGACTGATGTATAGAAATATGGTAACCATTCTGGTAAGTGTTGACTGAGGTATAGAAATATGGTAACCATTCTGATAAGTGTTGACTGAGGTATAGAAATATGGTAACCATTCTGGTAAGTGTTGACTGAGGTATAGAAATATGGTAACCATTCTGGTAAGTGTTGACTGAGGTATAGAAATATGGTAACCATTCTGGTAAGTGTTGACTGAGGTATAGAAATATGGTAACCATTCTGGTAAGTGTTGACTGATGTATAGAAATATGGTAACCATTCTGGTAAGTGTTGACTGAGGTATAGAAATATGGTAACCATTCTGGTAAGTGTTGACTGATGTATAGAAATATGGTAACCATTCTGGTAAGTGTTGACTGAGGTATAGAAATATGGTAACCATTCTGGTAAGTGTTGACTGATGTATAGAAATATGGTAACCATTCTGGTAAGTGTTGACTGATGTATAGAAATATGGTAAC